CACGCACTTCACCAGCAGGGCTGGCACCTCCTGCCCTTGAGCGCTCATCAAACCCAGCAGGTCTCAAGCAGAGGGCAGTTCAGCCACATGTCTCGGACAACAATCTGAGAAAACCTCTCCACTCAAGCAGACACTAAGGCCTGTCATAAAAACCAGTGTCTGTTCTCGGGGGCCAGGCCAGCCTCTTCAGGGCTCCAGCTGCCCCTCCAGCCACCACACTGGCCTCTTTGTCCTGGAATTCCCCGCCTTCGAGGGAGAAGGTGGGGCACAGTGAGAATGCTCCACACACTGTGACACGCACACAGCCGGCAGGGAGTGCCCTCCGCCGAGGGACAGAAGACACACTTTCAGAAGTCCACTTGTGGTCTTGCACATGCGTGCATGCCTCTGGGAGCTCTCTCTCCAGCTATGTGTGATGTGTGTGACACATATGTGTCTGTGTGTGTGCTATCTATCTCTCTGTTTCGAAGCTCTGTAGAAGGTTTTCAGAGGCTCGAAAGCAGAGAATACCAGAAAGATGTCTACTTGTGTTTCATTAACTGTGCAAAGACATTCGACTGAGTGGATCATAACTAACTCTGGATAGCCTTGAGAAGAAAGGGAACTCCAGAACACTCCACTGTGCTCCCGCAGAACGTATACGTGAATCAGGGGCAGCTGTGCGAACAGAACACGGGAATACTGCATGATTTAAAGTCCAGAAAGGAGTGGCATCAGGACTACATTCTCTCACCATACTTATTCAACCTGTATGCTGAGCAAACCATCAGAGCAGCTGGATTATACGAAGAGGATGTGGCGCCAGGACTGAAGGAAGGTTTAATAACAAGCTGCGCTATGCAGATAACACCACCTTCCTTGCTGGGAGTGAGAAGGACTTGAAGCACTTGCTGATGAAGATCAAGGATTGTAGCCTTTGGTATGGATTACAACTCAACGTCAAGACCAGAATTCTCACACGTGAACCAATGGATGGCAGCATAGTACATGGAGACATGGTTGAAGTTGTCAAGCATTTTGTCTTGCTTGGATCCACAATCAGTGCTCATGGAAGCAGCAGTCAAGGGATCAAAAGACACATTGCACTGACTACATCTGCTGCCCAAGACTTCTTTAGAGTATTGAAAAGCAAGGAGGCTACTTGGAGGACTAAGGTACACTCGATCCAATCCGTGGTATTTTCAATCGCCTCAGAGGCATGTGACAGTGGACACTGAACAAGGAAGACCAAAAAATCCTGTGTTTGCATTGCGGTGCTGGCGAAGAGAAGGGAAGTGCCATGGCTTCCACCAGGACAAGCAAGTCTGTCTCGGAAGAAGTGCAGTCAAAGTGTGCCTTGCAAGCGAGGGCGGTGAGGGCTTGGGCATGTCGTCGGGAGAGGAACATCCGGCTGGGTAAAGTGGAGGGGCGGAGAAAGAGGAAAGCCCTAAAAGAGAAGGATCGATACAGTGGCTGCAACAATGGGCTCAAGCACAGGAACAGTCGTGAGGACGTCACAGGACCGGGCAGTGCTTTGCTCTGTGTGCAGAGGGTCGCTGTGGGTGGGGAACGAGTTGATGGCACTTAACAGAATGACAACCGCAGCCGCAGCATCTCGCTGTGTGATGTGCATGTAAAATACACAGGTGAGAGGCATCTGTCCACTGGTGTGTGATAAGGTGTTTGAAATCTCTATGTGCGTACAAGGTATTTATTTATGTGTGTGATAACTATATGAAGGCCGACAAGAGAGATACACGTGTGTCTGTGTGTGAGTTACCCACACGTGTGTAACTTACGTCTATGTGCAGGTGTGTCACACATGTATGTATAACTCTATGTATCCACATGGACATACCTATGTGTACAGAGAGACTCAAACAGAAGCTGGCAGGAAGGCCGGTTGAAGCCTCATGCCCGGCCACCTGGCAGGGCAGTGCTGACGATGCTGAGAGCGCGCAGCCAGCCCCCGGGTGGCCCACTGGGAACTCTAGCCGGCCCTGCCAGTGGGCAGCGCAGACCCACATTTCAAACATTTAAACACAGGCCCACAAGTCAGCGTGAGCAGCAGCTGGGAGCTGTGTGGCTTCCCCCGGCCGGCACCTCCTCTGCTGGGGCTCAGTGGAATCTTTTCAACACTCTCCCTACAAAGGGCACAGTTGACATCTGTGTCATATCAAACCCCACTGAACAAAGGGATGGAAAAGCAACTGGGTGCTCCCCCAGGATGTGGGAGGGAGCCTACCAATTACTGGGCACAAGGAGAAGGGGGCTGGAGGCCTGGCGTGTGGCGCTCTCTTCTGCCCCTGCTGGCCAGAAACCCAGAGGCTCCCAGTACACCACTCCTCAGGAGAAAGCCCGCACACACCTTCAGTCCCAGAATCTTCCTCCACTGTGGGCCACAGAGGTTGCCTGGCAGGGCCGGGACACTGAGAGCAATCCGGCCAGGTAGAGAGCCGGTTTCAGAGTGTGTGTGTGGAGAAGGCTTCTTGGGTGAGATGACCGTGGTGGTAGGTACACGCCATCCAGAGACAAAAGGCTCTGTGCCTCCACCTTCCTCCTGCTTCCTGTGTCTCAGGGACTTCCAGGTAGCCCTACGTGACCACGGAGAGAGCGTTGGTCTCAGTGGGCAGCAGGGAGCGGGAAAGACGGCCCGTGTGGGTGTGTGAAGGAGTTTGAGTGTGTGGGAAGGAGTGAGCATGAGTGTGTGTGGAAGAGTTAGTGCGTGTGAGTGCATGTGTGGGGGTAGGGGAGGGAGGGCCAGGCTGAAAGCAGACAGGTATGAGCCATCTGACCACCGCTCCAGGAGCGCTATCTCTTCTCTCCCACTGGGATCTGTCGATGCTAACCACAAGCTAGAGGGGCTGCCCCTCCAACCTCAAGGTAGCCACATCCACCACCGCTGGCCTCGCAGGCCAACGTAAGAGGGCTTCCCTGCCACCAAGATTCAAAAGAAAATCTAGACCAGGTCACAGTTGGAGCCAGCAGCCAGCCTGCCCAGCCCAGGGGGACTACGCCCAGGACCCTGACAGGGAGAGAAGCAGGGCACCAGTCTCAGAGAGCACACCCCACACACAGTCTGCACCTGAGGTGACAGCAGGGAGCAAGCCCCCACCAGCTCCATGTGGCTGGGGCCCCTCGCAGAGGTTCCCCACCCAGAACACTGTCCAAACCCATCAGAGGAGGGCACAAGAAGGACTCGGGCATCAGAATCAGGTCTGTAAGCAGACAGAGTCGCCCCAGGGACCCTGGCAACCTGGTTCTCAGCTCTGTCATTTCTAGAAGGGAGTTCCAGGTGGATCGCCACTTGAGAAGACCCCTGTAGGGGTAGAGCCGGCAGGCACCTTGGGGCTCGGCTGTCCTCCTCACAGGTGTCAGACTCAGGTGTGAGTGGGGTGGGGGTGGGGGGCAGACCCATCCACAAGGCTCCATTGAACATCTTTCGACAGTCAGGAGAGGGAAGGGGTCTTTCAGGGAGTGCCTCAAAGTGCTCTATGGGCAAGGCCTCCACGAGAGGATGGGGCCTGCCTGCCCGCTGCAGATGCCAGAAGGGCTGTGTCTGGTGGTGCAGGGACACAGTGACTGTCCAGGGAAAGGCACAGAGGACAGCAGTTCGCGGCGGCTGTGGGGAGCAGTGACCAGGGCAGGGCCTGCAACTCCAGCTCTCACTAGGACATGTCCGTCTCAGCTTGCCTCATGGGCGAGGGCTCTGCGTGCTCCCAGCATGAACTGAGCATGCTTTTCTTCAAGGATTCCAGACCTCCAGAACCGCCTCTCCCACACAGACACACATATACATGTACGCACAGACATACCTACACAGACACACACAGGCACATGCATACATACACACATAGATACACAGACATATACTCACATACATTCACACATAGACATACACACAGAGATACACACAGGCACATGCATACATAAACACAGACACACACACACACACACACACCCCACCTGCCTTCCTGGACACCAAAAGGTCCCTATCTCAACCTGGCGGGGGCTGGGCCACACTGGGCCTCCCACAGGAGAGGAGAGGGAGGGGTGACTCACCATGACAGGGGGCACCTCGAGGACCTTGTCTACGTTCTTCAGCGACAGGGGCACGTACCACAGGGTGGCCTTGTTGGTCAGTTTCTTGGTCCCTTAAGAGAAGGAAAAGTACATGAGAGATGGCACTGGGAGGGGAGGGGTTGCCACCGCTGTAGCCCTGCCTTGCCCAGTGTCCAAAATACCGCTTCTTCCTCACCGTGCCACCACTGTCCCTGGCCTCCAGCCCCAAGGGGCCAAGTGCAAGCTTAGGTCCTACGGCCGACAAGGGAGGGCTCATGCTGTCCCGGTACCTGAACCTCTTCACAGCCACACCTGCATGCCCCAGGCCACAGCCCAGGCTGGGATGGTGTTTGATCCCAGGCTGAATGGGGACACTCTACATCCCAAGGTCCCCAGGTTGTCAGCCTTCCAAGGCGGAAGGTTCGAACCTGTGTGTACCGACCGATTCCCGAGGCACCTTGGGGTGGACTGGGGCCTCCACCTTTTGGTTAGCTGCTGAGTGTGTTAGCCGTTTGCACCAACCAGGGAGGGGCTCACTGTGAAAACTCTTCTGGGCCTGTAAAGAGGAGCCTCCCAGACAGAGGCGCCCCCAAGTCTGTGCGAGCCCCCTCCTCCCACTCCCCCCACCCCCCCTACCCTCCCACCCCCATCCCCGCCGAAGAACCAGAACAAAGCTCGGGAGAAAGGCAGGCTGAAGCCACTAGCTCTGTCTCCTCCCACTGAGCAGGGCTGCCGTTTGATGTCAAACTTGAGCAGGCCTTCAAGGAGCTGGAAGTCGCCGCACAGCCCAGGAAGGTTGGACAGAACCTGAACCCCAGAAAAAGTACGGACTCCTCCAGTCCACGCGTTCCAGCACGGGAGGAGATAGCCACGGCATAGAGCAGTGGCGCCCCATCATCAGAGGGCATTTTCCAACCCCAGGGACTTCCTCAGTCTCCCCACCCCCACCCCCTTTAGAGTAGGGCAATGGATTTGCTCAGGCCTACTGAGAGTTCCAGAAGCTTCCATGTGCCAAGAGATGGGCTGTGAACTGCTGACTTCCTGTGGGCTGAAGGGCAGGACCTTTCTTAGGGCACAGGAGCCAGGCCACAGGGGAGAGTGAGGCTGCAGGGCCAGGGAGGACACGGGTCTGCTGAGGGCCACACAACAGCTCAGTGCTATCCTTACACAGGCCCCACGCCCTCCCCGATTTCAGGGGAGTGTTGTTTGCAAGGGTGCCTTCAAACAGTAGCGTCTTTGCTGCAGAAGATTCCAGGGTGGGGTGGGACTGGCAGGCTGCTGGAGATAACAGTGGTATGAGAGGGTGAGTGCAGCACCGGTGCCTCCCAAAATCGGCCATCCACCCCAAGGGCTCATGCCTCCCCAGAGAGCCAGGGTTTCCTCCTAAACAGAGTCCCAGGCACCAAGTCAACTCCCAGAGGGTCAATTAAACAGCAGTCTCCGGAGATGAGGAGGTCCCAACATCAACAACCCCCACCCCCTGCAGACAGGGCTTCACTGTCACTGACTGGCTCCCTGCCCTGTGGACTGACAGGCAAATAATACAGGAAATATTTTCACTGCACTCTGACTGCGAGTGGATCTGACAAGCTGCTTTGGGGAATAAAGATTTCCTGTTTGCCTCCGCCAGAGCCAGCCTGACAGGCTGGTTTCCATGGAAACCCCCAGTGGCCCTCCTCCCGACCCAAATGAACAACTCAGAGCAAATGAGGCAAACATGCTAATTGTACTTTCTCAATCATTTAATAAAGCCATCAAAAGGCAACTGTGGCATTAAAAATATCTACTTTAAAATCTTAAAAGCTACCAGCTATTTTCTGGAGCGATTCACAGCAATCACGTCCTAGTTAGCTTAATATTTTGACAGTTGCCAGAGATGAATGAGTGTCGCAGAGGTATGAATGATCCATAGCTTGCAACGCAGCCCAGAAGGAGAGGCACACGCAGAACTGGGGACACCTGCCCTCCTGGGGAGGGCAAAGACCCATGGACATCGCATGAACAGCATGTCCAGGCTAGTGACCCTGGGTATGTAACCGGGCTACCTAGACCTCAGTCTCCTTCTCTGTCAGAGCCCACGTGTCTATTTGCCCTGTGGCCCGGACACTGCTGTTGGTTTGGAAGGTACTAACAGCCAACAAAATAGCCCCCAGGGCCTCCATCCTTGTAGGGCTCACAGTCCAGTGGACACAGACAGACAGATGGAAATTCCTAGAGCCTCAGGTCAGAATAACAGACTCACAAGAGGAGCGGCATGCCAGGTCAGAAGATAAGGAAGGGAGCCTGGCCCTACAGCACTGAGCTCTGCGTCATGACCACGCAGGCGTGTGGAAAAGCCACAGCCCCTGGGGCTCAAAGCTTCTGGCTGCGGGAGACAGCCTCATCTCCACCCCGGGAAACACAATGCTCAGGGGCCACACAGCACAGCTAAGAGCCGAGAAGCAACCACATGTCAGGGCCTTCTCCAGTCCGCTGTCCCATCTGCACAGTGGAGTGGCACGCGCTGCCCAGGCTTCACGTGGATAGAGAAACTAGGGGAAAAACAGACCCAGGCTCCCCAACCTCTAGGGTAGGGGCAAGGTGGAGGGCTGCAGAGGCCGGGGTACTCAAGAGAGGGATGAGGCACCCACTCTAGTCTCCCCCACTCTCCAGCCTCACTCAGCCCTACCCGAAGCCTCCATGTTCTTTGCCCATGGGTGAGTCTGTAACTATAAGGGTGAGCTCAGGCCATTCTCCAAGTCAGAATGCTCAGGACCACCCAACTCAGCGTGAGCCCCAGGCCTTCCCGGTGACTTCCACTCATTCCTTCATGCCTTCGTTAATTATTGAGCCCATGTCTACTTTGAGCCAACCAAAAATGCCCAGCAGAGAAGACGTGAGTGCCCCCTCAGATATCATGAGTGAGGAAGGCCTCTCCGCCCTGGGCATCCTGGATGAGTGGATGCTGTTACCCACTACCTGCTGGTAGGTGGCACCTCCCAATGTGACAGCCAAGGGCTGCCCAAGGGCCCAAGCTGGCCTTGGTTGAGAACCACGGTGCAGGCACACAAATAGCCAGCTCAACCTGAGAAGCTGTTGCTAAGATACAAATAGCTCCTGGGGACAGGGCTGGCACAGTGGTGCCAGGCAAGAGCAGTGGGAGAGTCTCCCCAAAATGTGGCACAAGAAGGCCACAAGAGGGAAGCCACAAGTCTGGTGATGCTGGAGGCTCGGCTGCTCCAGGTGCAGGTGCTGAGGGAAAGGGAGCCCTGAGGCTCCCAGGCCCCTTTGATCAGAGGTGGGAGACCAAGCTGTCACCCCCAGGAGACAGTGTGAGGCAGGCCTCTCCCGAGGCCTCTGTCTCACCCAAATCTCCCAGTCATCCCTCTTGGAGGCCCAGACAAGCCCTCTTTCCTGGAGAAGTCAACACCCCCAGACCTGTCATGCGCCCCGCTGCCTCTCCCCCTCCCCCTTCCTCAGAGTCCACAGGGTTGAAACCCAGGGTCTTCCAAGCACCCCTCCAGCCAGGACGCAGAGCCCAAGGCACCCTTCGTCCCCTGCCCCCGCTCTCGTCCCCCTCCCAGTCCATCAGGCTCCTCTGGGCGGCAGTTCCTGGTGCCTCGTTGGGTCGCCAGCTGGACAAGGCACAGTCACGGTGAAAAGCTGTGCCGCCTGCACCGCCTCCGGGGGTGATCTGGACGCGTAAGCGAGGTGGCTGACACCTGGCTCTGGCAGGTCGGACTAAAGCTCTGCGCCCAAAGGGCGGGGCAAACTGTGTGTCCGGATTCTGGACAGGGGCCCCCGGGGCCCTCTGAGAGGTCCCATCCCTGCACTGAGCCTGATCTTGGTTGCAGCCACAGTCCGCAATGTAGAAGGGAGGGCATTGGGCACCGCTGTCTGTGCCCCAGCCAGAGACCTGGGCCCAAGCATCTATGGATACAGGTGCCGGCTGTTCGGTCCTGATGGGCAAAGACAGGCACGCCGGAACCACCCCCTTGCACCTGAGGCCTTGCTTGAGGGGGGTGGGGGGAAGGAATGTTCAGTGCTGTCACTGGGCTACACCCAGCCCACCCGTGGGGGAGGAAGGCACCCACCCTGTGAAAGCCCCTCAGCACGGCACTGGTCAGGGCAGCCAGGGAACATGTTCATCTACACCCAGACTACAAGGTGGCTTGGGACCTGGATGCGGGGCAGCAGCTCTGCGGGGAGCCTGGGGATTAAGGAAGCGGCTGCCTCCCTCATTACAAGCATGGTTATAAAAAGAAGTGTGTGCGGGTGCTGGTTCACGCCAGCGGCGCCACGCTCGCCTGCAAAGCAGAGTGGGAAGATGAAAAGGGGTTTCCATGGTTACCAAGACCAGGGAAGAGAATGTTCAGATCAAACAGAGTCAAAGGTTCACCAGTGAACTTTCATCTAAAAAGGGCCTTCCAGGCGACAAGCCCCCCACCGTGCATACAAAGGGACAACAGGGCTGGCCGGTCCCATCCCTGCCCAGGACTAAACTGACCAGTCGTTCAGCTGAGCAGAGTGGAGGGCATGCCCTCAGGGCTGGGGCAGGCGGCAGGTCTGAATCTGCTCTGCCACTGCCCGATGGGTGATCTGGGCACTTGGCCTACTGGTCAGAGGTTACAGTGAGGTGAGCGGGAGCACCCCCTGCCGGCTGGTGGTGGGCCTGGCGCCCTGGCCAGCGCTCACTGAGCACCCAGCAGACGCTCCTGGCTGCCACCCAGCCTTTATTATCACTGCAATTCCGGTTACCGCCAGCCAAGCTCCTGGGGGAGGAGCGCCCACAAGTTACCTGTGAGGATGTTCTCGGACATCACGTTGACCTGGACTTCCACAGAGTGCTTGGACGTGTAGGTAATCTCAGCGCTGACGTGAGCCACCTCCCCGATGCACATGGGAGACAGGAAGTCGGTGC